ACCCCACGCAGATTTTCGACAGGCTGTAGTTCTCCAAGCCTTCCTCCACGGTCCTGAGCGATGCCGCCACCTTCTGGCCAAGAGGAGAACCTGCAGGTTGGGAGGAAGGAGGTTAATCGGCGAGGGGAAAAAAAATCTCGACCGACAAGGCCGGAAATCCTGGGTAGTGGATCTATACGAACGGTCCTTGACTTATGACCGCAATAGAGACTGGAAAAAAAATCTGTCTTTAAGCAGGGCAGTGGTTAAATGAGGCCTCATGCAACCACACCCGATTTGTTTTAAAAAAATTACACCGGTACGGCCGATAGGGCTACCTCCCGGGACTCGAGATACATCTGTAAACACAACAAACACTCTGAATTCAAAAGGTTCCTTTATTCGGGGCGCCGGCAGCCCCGGCAAAAAATTCCTCTCTCACCGCAGGCTAACAAGTCCGTCCGCCAGGGAAGTGAAGAGTTGTTTGGCACATCTATTCGTCTCCTCCCCCTGCCTTTTATCCCCAGAGCTCAGGCGGGGCCTCGCTAGCAGCAGTGGCTCTTCCGTCCCAAGGGCCGGCCCATAGATTTCCACTGCTCTCCTCTCCTCTCTGCCTTCTGCGCATTATGTCAACACGTAAAATATTTCTGGGGTCTTTTTAGAGTCGCCAACAGAAAGGAAGGGGGAAGCAGTGGGCAGCTTGCACCCCATCCATGTTTTCAAAGATAGTAACTAGGCGACGGAGGTTTCTGCCGCGCAAAATTCTAACAGGAGAGCCGGATTGATGACTTTGGGCTATGGAAGTGTCCCATTGGAGAATATGAATGATGATACACCCAGGGGTTTGGGGTGTGGGGTGGCGAAACCAGGGTCAAGGGTGACAGTGAATGATGTGCCTCAGAGTCAGCTATACCCAGGCATGTTTACTCCTAATAAATCTTTTAAGTTTTGAAAATCCGGCGAGAGACTCATGATTTAAATGGGAGTAACTACTGGGATCCTGACATCAGGAACTGGAGCCAGCTGTTCCTCCTCTTCTTCATCAGCCACCTCCAGACCTGGGGGCTGTTGACTCTCTATCTGGGGGTTGGCGGACGGCTCCTCCTCTTCCAATTCGGCTGCTGGAGGGACCGGCAGCCGACAGGCCACAACAGGTAGACAGGGCTATTTATCGGACTCGAAATAATCTGTACGGCAGAGAGGGCTGCCTACTGAGTCGAGATAATCTGTACGGCAGACAAAGCTACCTACCGGACTCAGCCAACCCGTAGACATCTGTAGCGGCCCGGGAAATGGGATTGGCTACCAAAGGCACCACGACCCCTTGGGGCAAGTGCTCCATCAGGAAAGCGTGCACCTTGTCCAGGTCAGCCTCGGAGTCCGAGTCCAGGATGAGCTTCACTCGGTGGTAGTTGCTGACCCAATCCGGGTACGAGCCCAGGTTGGTGCGTGGCCAGAATTTGGCGTTGGCGTCGTTCAGCACCGAGGCGATCTGAGTTTCCTCAACGTTCACGTAGATCTCCCGGGTGTAAAACTGGGTCTTCTCGTTTCGGAAGAGATGCCCGAGACCGTCCAGGGCTCGTTTCATCAACGAGGGGATCCCGGGGAAAATGTAGACGTTCCGGACGCTGATCAGCGGATACGGGAAGCGACGCCCTGTCTTCTCGTCCACTCCGTAATTGAGGAGAGAGGATTCGGGGACGCAAGCCAGCTTCATCTTCGGGCTTTCGGGCTTGGACTGCAGGCCGAAAAATTTCTGGACGAGTTTCACCATCTCTGGATGGGGATGGATTTTCTCGCCGAAGGCTTTTGCGACCGCTTCAAAGGTGACGTCGTCGTGCGTGGGGCCGATGCCGCCCGACGTCAAGACGTAAGTGAACCTGTCGGCGAAAGACTTGACCTCAGTGGCAATGGCCTCCACCTCGTCAGGCAGCACTGAAATCTTGGCCACCTTCACCCCCAGCGAGCGGAGTTTCCGGCACATGAAAACAGAATTGGTGTCTTGCGTGTACCCCTGAAAAAAAGACCCCCCCCAAAAGAAGATATTAGAAGGATAATCTGTAGTCGAAGTAGATCATCAACAGCTTCTTCACAAGCATGTTAGCATTCATAGTCCATGAGAAGTTCTTCAAGATAGAAGTGCCCAGAAATTTAAACTTAATTCATATATCAGCAGGTATATTCAGATATATATACACATCGCCAGTTGACTTTATTGGGGAAAAAAAATAGATTAATTCACTGATCAAAGCTGCCTCGATTTCCCCAAAGCGTACACCGTTGTGCGAAGGCTCACGTACCTTTAAGATCTCGTCTCCTATGATGATGATGCCAGCGGTCACGGCTGCAGGTTGAGGGGTGCCCCCTTTGTTTCTGGAAGTTTCCCCATCCACCTGGGTCGCCATCGTTTGAAGACACCGTCTGGGCTGTCTGGCGTGCACAACGTTCCTGCAGAGCCAAAGATCCCAGCGCAGGAGCGAGCGGCCCTTGGAAGCTGCCAGTTCTAAATGTCGCTTTGGCAGAGTTTTGGAAGCTGCGTTACCTGCAGTTACCTGAAATTAATATGTCTGTTACACAAGCCCTTTGATTGCAGGTATTTTTTTAAAAAAAATTCTTGCAGGATTATTATTATTATTATTTTAAATAAAGGAGAGTATTTGTAGCTTGAAATTTGGGGTCCTTGGTGCTCTCTGAGCTTGGCGGTTTCCTTGTGGACATTTCATGACCCAACTAAGTAACATCATCAGGGCTAGAAAGGAGTGGAGTTTCCTCTGCGTGAGACTGATGATATTACCTAGTTGGGTCATGAAACATCTGCAAGAAAACAAGCTCAGAGAGTACCATCGACCTCATGTGTCTTCCTCCTCCACCTCTTTTCCTAAACTCCATCTCTAGTCTAGCACTGTTGTTGTTACCTAGTTTGGTAATGAAACGTCTGCAAGAAAACAACCCAGTTCAGAGAGCACCAAGGACCCACAGTCTTCCTCCTCCTCCTCCGTCATCTTCTCCTCCTTCTCCTTTTCTTTCTCCTTCTCCCTTCTCCTCTCTGCAAACCCTACCTGTAGTCTAGCACGGATGTTGTTACCTAGTTTGGTCACGAAACGTCTGCAAGAAAACAACCCAGCGCAAAGAGCAACAAGGACATCATCATCATCATCATCATCAAACAAAGTAACTTTGAAAGATTGTTTTGTTCTGGCTGGTCATTTCTACTTTATTTATGATTATTTCCCTCGCTTTGGAAGTACTAAGGTATGTAACACGTCACTCTCTGACCTGTAAAATTAAAATGGAATTAAATTGACTGGCTTCAATCACTTTAATTGGTTACATTAATAAAATCAAACCAGACCCTTACACTGTGGATCGCACCCTTTCCAGAATAAATCTGCATTTATTTACTCCAGTTGCACTGAGACATCAAACTAGGATTGATCTATTTCCCAAGACTATTGATCTATTTCCCAATTCATCCCATAACAGTGCTTTAAGCAATCCCCAAAGAGAAAGCCTTCATTCCCGCGGGTCCTTGACACTCTGCCCATGCTCAGGAGCCCCCTTGGCAAAACCTGCAGGGTGGGAGATACCATTGCAAGCAAGACCCGGGAAATTCCCACGCACCCCTCGACTTACCCTAACCTTGTTTAAACAACTGCCAGGGAGCCACGCCTCCCGCTCGCCCATTGGCTTGCTTCTTCCTGCCGGCCTCGCCCCCTCTGGTTTGCTATTGGCCTAGCGGGAAAGGGGCGGGGAGCGGAAGAAGCGCGGATTGGCCAACAGGCGCGGGCGGCGTGGCAAGAGAGCGACGCTCTAGGCCCCCGGGAAAACTACATTTCCCATCATGCCTCCCGGCGTTTCATTGTGTACAGGCGAGTTTTTTGCAAACAGGTGTTGCCTTTTGGATTGTGTAATTTTTTTAAAAACTTTTTTGTTTACCTCCTCGTGACATTTGGCTGAGTGACCCAACCCACCCAATTTTCTAGATTATGTGCAATGTTGTAAAGTGTCAAAATCAGCTTAAAGCTGATTTTATTTATTTTTATTTATTTATTTAGTCAAATGCTTACAATATAATGGAAATAAGAATAAACATAAGTTTAAATACATGAAATGGTAACTAGTAATTGGGGACAATAGGACAGGGACAGTAGGCACGATTGTGCGCTTATGCACACCCCTTAATTTTGCAGAGAAATCCCTTGTGCATCCAATCACACTCGGCTAATAAGAAAATAAAGGGAAGGAAAAGAAGTAAATGGATGAAGAAGGGAAGGAAAGGGAGGGAAAGATGGAAGGAAGTAAATGGATGAAGGGAAGGAAAAGATTGATGGAAGGAAGAAAATGAAGAAGGGAAGGGAACAAAAGAAAGGGAAGTAAATGAAGGGAAGGGAAAGGAAGGAAAGATGGTGGGAAGGAAATAAATGGATGAAGGGAAGGGAAAGGAAGAAAAGGAAAAGATGGAAGAAAGTGAAGAAGAGAAGTAAAGGAAGGGAAGGAAGAAAAGGAAGAGAAGGCGGGAAGAAAGTAAATGGATGAAGAAGGGAAAGGAAAGGAAGGGAAGGAAAAAGCTCATTTTCCCTTTTATGCTCCACTATTTTTAAAAATTCCAAATCTACTAAGAAGGCTGTTTTGCACAGCATTATTACACACAACACTACATTACTGAAACTACATAGTCTAAGGAGTGGAAATGTAGGCTACATTCCCCCTACAGATCGCTTTCGAAAGCACCCGGTCTATCAGCAAAAACAAACAAACCCAAATCCCGTATAAACAATCTTTATTTGGATCAGGTCAGGAAAGCTCATCCGGATCAGTCAATCAAGGAAAATTAAACAATTAATTAAGCTTAGGTTACTTGTATGAGTTCAGCTCTTTGCACCCTGCCTTTAAAACCACCCCAATCCCCAGGTAAAGTAATACACAACACAATTTAACTGCAGTTAAAACAATATTTTAGGAAAATGCGTTGCAGCAAAACACGAGTAACAGAAAGCACTTCCATTAATAAAGTTTTTTTAAAAAAATAAAATAAAATAAAATAAAAGGCCCTGAAAGAAAACTTAAAAACAGAAGCACAAGGAAAACAAGTTTATAGAATATTTCTTGGTACAATAGGTTACATACGTACTCACGAACAGAGGTTACAACATGGATGAAACTACACAAAGTTGCTGCATTTGTACATTGAACCCAAAACTTAAATATTGCCTAATTTCATTGATTCTTTTTTTTAAAAAAGAGATCACCTTGATCAACATTTAAAGTCTTGAATGGCTTTCTTTGGAAGACAACATGGATGAATTTTAATCCTTTATACCAGTGGCCCTCAAATGGTTGTTTGAACCCAGTGTACTTGCATCGACCGTTTTATTTTTCTCATAATTTTCAGTTAATCTGTGACATGATTCCTCCTTTCACCAATGCATTCCAATGTCCAAGTTACATTAGATTAAGCAATATAGAAAACTGCGACCAAATTGAGGTACAAGGAGTTAGAAACGATCCTTTAACATGGTGACCCTTTATTAATCCAGCCCAAGGAACAATCATATCAAAAATATCTTAAAAGCTCTAAAGCAGAAGTTGAAATATAAGATTAAAAAGGAAAGGCACGTTTTAAGAACAAAGTTTTGCAAGACAAGATTTTTTTTTTTAAAGTGAGTTAGGCCCTTTGGGCAGGCCAAGCTTTTAGCCAGTATTTCAAAAAATATTTTTTTAAAAAAGTCAAGTTGTTGGAGTTTTTGAAGATTGCTTTGGCCAGATAAAATATCGGAGGCAAAACCACTTTTTCTTAGCTGCTTGTTTACGTCAAGCAGTATTTTCTGGAACAGGCATCTTAAAACATTTCTTGGAATTTTACGATTTAGATTAAAAGAATCAATTGTTCTCCAAAAAAAGGTGCTTCGATCGAAACACAGAAGAAGGTGGAGGTGCGTGTCATTTTTCAACTTTCTTCGGCAGTGGTCTTCGGAAAAGCAGGATGTGTGGCTCTGGAAAGAGAGGAAAAAAACGGCACGTGAAAAAGATCACCGGAACTCAGATTTTTTTTCCTCCAGCAGGAAAGCTGTCATCAAATCCCTCGGATCAGTTTTTTTTTTTTTTTTTACGTGGGGGAAGATTCAGAAAATAACCAGATCCTGAATGGTGGAGTGATCAAAGATCATGTCGTCGGTGGGCAAAGCCAATTTAGATTTATTTTTATTTGCGTCCCGCCGGTTTTATTTTTTTACAAATCAATCAAGATGGCAAACATACCCATCTCTCTCTTCCTGTTTTCCCCATAACAACCATCCTGTGAAGTGGAATGAGCTGAGAGTGACCGCTCCAAAGCCACCCAATTTTTGTGCCTAAGGCAGGACTAGAACTCACGTCTCCTGGTGACTGGCCCAAAGTCACCCAATTGGCTTTCACATCTAAAGTGAAACTAGAACTCATTTTCTCCTGGTTTTTAGCCTTAACCATTAGACTTCACTGGCTCTTTAAGGGAATATTCAAGTCACTCAGTGGCCATCCGGACGATAACTTAAATTGATGCTCGAAGTTGACATTTTGCCTCGAGAGCTTCAGGTCCAAGCTGCGGACAGGTTTTACCCTACCTGGTTCGTGGATCATGTAATGGACCCAGCCCTGGCTCTGCTGGACCCCCAGGTTCCGCCACTCCGATTCGGACATGAGATGGGTCTTGGGGACCAGCTTGGCGATGTCTTTGGGCAGCATGACATGCCTGCAAGAAAAGCCGGGCGGGAGGGGGAAGAGAAGGAACAAGAGGTCAATAAACATCGGACCAACCTACCAAATCCCCCCCCCCCGCCGGACAGTCAAAGAGGAAGCGAGGCAAAGCCCGCCTATAGAGTGATGGGAGTTGTAGTCCCACCATATTTATGCACCACCTCTTAACTTGGTGGGAAGCCTCTTTGGAGTCTTGAGGCCCTTTCCCAATCCCATCCAACCTCAGCCTGACCTGCTGTCAGTGCTGTCGCGCCTCCACACCCATCAGCCCTAGCCAAAGGCTAGGAACCATGGGAGGTGGAGTCCAAATCATTGCCAAACGGATGGATGATAGCTGGGGGGGGGGGGTTTGGGGGGGGGAGGAGGGAGAAAAGGATTTTACAAGTTTTTAGAAGACTTTTCAAAGGGTTGAAGCAAGGAAGGTGGACGACCCATCGATAAGCCAATAAGAAGCCGAGATTAAAAAGAAAAAGGATTAAAATGCGATAAAATACCTAATCCCGTTAATTCGTTTAAATTTATAAACGGCCCAGTTCTAGGAGATTTTGTGAAGCATGCAAAAATTAGGATTTCTCCCTCCTTTTTTTTCTTAAAATAAAAGGCTAAAAATACAATGCATAATTCTTTTAATGCAGTTTATTCATCTTTTTTTCTTGTTTTCTATTGCAAAAAAAGTTTTTCTTGGCTTCTTTTGGGAGCCTGCATTTTAATTTCTTGAACAACACAAGTTTGAACAAAAAAAAAAAGGCAAAAATGTGAACAAATACAGAATAATTAGAAGCCAGAGGCTCCAAGCCCCGCCCCCTCCCCCAAGCCCCGCCCCTCACGTGTCGTCGCCGCGGAAACCCCCCCAACCCCGCCCCTGCCCATCGCGCCAGGCTCCGCCCCCTCTCACCGGTACTCGAATTCCTCGTCGTCGTATTTATCCGAGTAGTAGATCTGCTTGTGCGTCATGATCGGGAAGGCGGCGGCGGGGCGGCCGGCGGCGTCTGGCTCGCTCTCTCCGGCCGCTGCTTGGCGTTTCCCGGCGGCGTCCGAAGCCCCGCGCTCGCCGGCGCCAGTTAGAGGAAGACTGGAAAGGGGAGGCGCCGGCCTTTTTTGCGCATGCGCACCTCTCGCCCTTGCGCGGGTTTACCCCTCGCTTAGTTTCCCCCGAACCGCCGCTTTTCAAAAGTCTCCGCCTTCGACGCTGATTGGGCAGGAGAGTCTGAGGGGGAGGATGCTTGGGTAGACGTAGCGGAACCTGATTGGCTGCGCTCGGAATGACCTCAGCCCTGCATGATGTCTCTCAAACTACAACTCCCATCAGTCCCATTCTCACAACCTTGTCAAGAGGGGACTACAAGTCCCATTCTTCCAGTTTAAGCCGCATATTCCATCATCCTGTCAAGCCAGAGCTGGGCAGGAACCAACAATGCATTTTGGTTATAAATGAGATGAGAAACGGGATACCCAATTTTATTCCCCCCCCCCTTGGTCTAAAATTAACCATTCGTTTAATTAAGGACCGTGTGTCAAATCAAATTGAAAAAGGGGTTCGGGGGTCTCAGGTAAAGGAGTAGAGCCGCTTCGATTTCAACCAATGAGGAGCTTCCCCCAGGTGTGTCTGCATGCTGATTGGTCTCTGAGTCTCCCCGGGGACCTATAAAACAGCCGTGCTAGCAGCCAATGAAAAGTTCAGGTTGTTGGTTGCGTTAACCAATCGGGTTCAGAGCTGTTTTGGAGGGAAAGTATAAAAGGAGACAGCGGGACTGACGCTTTCAGTCAGCCCGTCGAGGAGCTTGGAGAAAGGCGACAACGGGGAAGTAAAGGAGAGTTTGCAGTCGGAAGAAACTTGAGTATCGGAAGGCTAGAAGGAAGATGAGGCAAAAGCGGCGAGCTAGGAAACAAACGGCGAAGTCATTTCTGAGGGGATTTCTGCGTCCCTGAGGACCGATGTGAAGACTACGACGAATATTTTTTAATACTGAAATTGTAGTGTTTTATTAACCCTCTCCCCGCGTAGTGTTCTTTCTATTCCTCCCTATAAACAGCCCTGTGGAAATGGGTGGGTCCTGACACGGGGAGAGAGAGTCCCAAGGCTAGAGTGGCACTACCGGAAGTCTAGGAAAGGTTGCCGAAGGGGAGGTAGGCTGGGAGCCCCGCCTTCAACACGGGACGAAATCCGGAAGCGTTTGGTGGGGAAAAAAACGGGCGGGGCAGGTTTCTAAGAACCCCAGAAGTTTTGTCGGAGAGAGGCTCTGTCGGAGAAGCCGCAGTTGGACGCCTTTGCCCCTCCAATGGTGCGGCCGCCCCGGTAAGAAGCCCCCTCCAATTATCAATATTGCCCCGTGCAGCCCTGCATAGTCGGTCAATTGCGGGTCAGGTTCCGTCGCCCCGTCTGGAAAGTTGGCCGGGGGAATGATTTGTTTCTAAGGTTGCACCACAGCCCTGCGAGGGAGGTCCGGGGAGCGCCGTTACTCGGTCGGGGCGATCCGCGTTCATTTTCATTGATAAGGATAGGGCTGGGGCACGGCTCTATTCCCTCGAGGCGCCTTTTAGAGACGCGCGGCAAGGTAAATTGCCCCTGCGGCTGGAGGTTCTCCGGATCGGGCGCTCATTTAAGGAGCGTGGCTCAAGTTGGGCCGGACCCGAGTGTCGAAATCGTGGGTACATTTTCCCAGGAAAGGGCGGGGGAGGAGGGAAAAAGTCCGCTCCTCACTCGTGTTCCGAGGAAGCAGCGCCGCCAGAGGATTCCCGGACTTGAAAACTCAGCCTTGTTTTGTAATAGAAGCGGGTTACTAATGGTTTACTCAGAAGCATGACGGTGACTGCAGATTTAAAGTCTCCCTCCCTCCCTCTTAACTGTCTCCCGTCTGCGCGACGAGGCCAGGGGAGGAATGTGAGGGAAGAAAGGAGAAGAAAGAAAAAAAAAAAAACTCCCTCTTGCCGGACCAGAGGGGAGACTGCGCCAGAGACGTCCGCGCCGCCTTCGAGCGCTTCTTTCCTTCGCTCTTTCCTCCTGGGCTCTTCCAAGCTCTTCCCCCGAAGGAGCCAAGGAGGGGAAGGACGAAGCCGGCTCCGCGTTGGGGCCGGCGGGGATGGGACGAAAAAACCCATCCCGGGGGGGAAAGGCGAGAGTGGGGCATCCAAAACGCTTTGCCCGGAGGCGGGGATGGTGGTGGTGTCGGTGTCGTCATTCTATCCCCAAAGGTTGAGCCGCTCGTGTCTTGAGGATCGGCCCCGTCCAGAGGTGGAAGATGGTCTCTGGAACCCTCTCTGGTTGTGTTGGGTGCGGATGGGCTTCCAGAGCTGGAGAGGGTTGGGGGGGATTTGGTTGCCCTGGCGGAGAAACGGCCCGCGATGTGAACGTTTTAGCATTGAGAAAGAAGCCGCCGCCGCCGCTGCTGGGTGTGCCTGCTGCCTCTAGGCAAAGCCTCGGCGTTGCGGAGTTTGGGGCCGGGGTTGATTCCTTTTTAGGTGGGACGGATTTGCTGCAAGACTCGCTGTTGCAAAATTGTAAAGGGGCGGCGGGGTTATTTATGAAACGGGTTTGCTTGCAGGCCTTGAGATTGCAAAGCTTGGGATCGCATGGATAGGCTGTCCAAAAGTGAGACTTTTTCTCCCTCTCACCCCTCTCTTCCTTTCCACAGACACGAAAACCACATTTGGGGGAGTTGTCAATGATCTCAAAACCTCTGCAAATCTTGGACCCAAACCTGTCCTTTCTTTTCTACTTTGCACCCCTAATTGTTGGCAAAGGCCAGCAGGATTTTCTCTCCTTTAAAGAACCGATTGGGCCTCTTTTCTCCCCCAGGAAAGGTTTCTGTCCCAATTTTGGCACCCGTGTCATATTTGCATGCTCCACTTTGGAGGGTGGTTTTTGGTGTTTTTTTTTGGAGTGTGTGTGTTTGTCTCTCACTATTGTGTGCAGCCAGCCTAAGCCAGATTTCCTGGCTTAGTTTACAAACAAGACCGTAATTCATCTGCGAGGAGGTTGTCACCTCCACCAACCAAGCTGGGAGATTTTTCTCAACCCAAGTTGGGTGAGACTTTCTGTGCAAAAAAAGAATGAATAGAATAGAACAAATAATAGAACAGAATAAAGAATAGAATAAAAAAGAATAGAAGAAAGTAATAGAATAGAAGAAAATAGAATAGAGAAAGAATAGAATAGAATAAAAAGAGAATAGAAGAAAGAATAGAAGTAATAGAATAGAAGAAAATAGAATAGAGAAAGAATAGAATAGAATAAAAAGAATAGAAGAAAATAGAATAGAGAAAGAATAGAATAGAATAAAAAAATAGGAATAGAAGAAAGAATAGAATAATAAAGAATAGAATAAAAAGAATTGAAGAAAGTAATAGAATAGAAAAAAATAGAATAGAATAATAAAGAATAGAATAGAATAAAAAGAGAATAGAAGAAAGAATAGAAGTA